GTCTATAGAATTTATTTTCGTTTTATTAAGTCTTTTATTTATTAAGTAGTTTTAAAATTTTCATTAGTCAGCTTGCCAGCCGAGTGGTTAGTTCGCAGAACTTCTGAATGAAAAAGCTGTGGAACGAAACCTACCACTGGCCACTTTTTTTTTTAAATATTTTTTGATTTTTTAAAAATACAAAATAAAACACTTTTGAAGTTTTATAGACATTATATATATAATGTATGTAAAGATATTATAAACTATAACAAACAAAAGGAATTTAAAAAAGTTAAAAATTGACAAATTTGTTGCGCATGTGTCACGATTGAGATACTTATTTTATTAATGTACTCAGGTAATTAGTCTTAATAAGCTGCGGATGGTCTGAAAAAAATTATGGCCTGAGACTTAATAAAGAAAAAATTTAATAAGACAGTCCTGCTACTCTAGAAGATGCTGCTGTGGATGCAAAAATAAAAAATATGTATGTATGTATGTATGTATGTATGTATGTATGTATGTATGTATGTATGTATGTATGTATGTATGGTATGGTTTGGTATGTATGTATGTGTATATATGTGCATATATGTATATGTGAATATATGTATAGGTGTATCTTTTTCATTTTTTTGTAGGCACACTATTTGCTTATGGTCAGACAGCCTCTGGTAAAACTCATACAATTCTTGGCGATGTAAATGAATTAGGGATACTTCCTTTGGCAATAAAGGAAGTTTTTGATCACACAGTCAAGGTTTAAACTGTTTTGTTTATTGGTTATTTATTATACCCTGCATTTAACATCATTAATACCATTTAAAAATTGCTATAAACTTCCAACGGTATCAAAGCAGGTATTATTAACTTTTTGAATAAAAATCTTAATTCATTAAAATTTATTAAATACAATTTCATGAGGTTGCTACTTCAAAATATTTCACACAATTCATCAATTCAGATTTTTTTGATTTTCCTATTTTTTACTTTCTCATATAGCAGATTTTGGAGTATCAGAAAATAATGTTGTGAAATACCATATTGGTGGAATATATCTTCAATGCCTTGTGCTTTTATTTTATTGTTAAAGAATTCATTCAATGTTTATATTTTTTATCTAATTTATTTGATTATTATGGTGTTAGGCATTATTTTTAAAGTTCATGCAACTACTATTCTATCAAATTATTTTTTTCGTATTGTGATTAAGCTGTTCTTTAACTTGACTAATTGCAGAACTTTTATAGTTTGTTAAATTATAAGAAATGGTTTTTTTTATTTTTATAGTCCAAAGCTATAATTTTTATGGACCAAAAATTAAAACAAAATGTGCAGGTGTTAATGACCAAAAAACAGAACTTATAATCTGCTATCAATCAAAAAACAGGACTTATAATCTGCTATCAATCAAAAAACAGAACTTATAATCTGCTATCAAACGATCCTATAATTTAATTTTAACTGTAGCCAAACTTTCCAAAGTTAATTAAAATTCTATTTCAGTCTGTACATCAATGAAAAAATATATATTTATGTCCTTTTCAATATTTACCTTATTTTCATGTTTACATTTTCCATGAGAGAGAAAAAAGACAATACAGAGTCATTCAATATGATCATCCAGACCATGTCACTGTAATGTCTCAGAGTTGCTTTATTTTACATCATTTGCAGTCCATAGTAAATAAATCAAAACTACAAAAATTTTAGCTAGCTAAAATAATACATGGGTTGTTAAGATGTTGTCAGTTGAAGTAATGTTGTCAGTTGAAGTAATGTTAATTCAGCATTTTTGTGGAATGAAGAGACTACAAATCAACTTTGACATGTAGTATCTTGATAATGACAGAGAAGATTTTCCTATAATTTTGAACCTAAATTGATTTTTGCTCAAGGAATTCAAAAATACTGGTTTAAGGATTGGTTTAAGTGGTTTAAGGATTCTGCTCTAAGGATAATATAGTTTCAAGAGATGTCTCATATATTCAATTTTATTCAAAATTATATAAAATTGATATAAAATTTGTTGGTTTTTGAGCCAAAATGGAGACTGTCACTCGAAATACCTGGGAAAGATGTTGGTTGTGTATCATTATTTCATCATTTTGTATGTATTCATATTTTGTATTTCATCATTGTGTATCATTATTTCATTTCATAGGTTTACTGGAAAAAATTTAATTCATGTATTGTCTCTCTAATATTTTCTGAATTTTGAAAAATATAAATTATATAATGAAGGAAATTTTTTTATTAAAACTTCAATATAATGTTTTATAATAACTGTTTAGGACATATTCATGGTCATAGGTATACAAACAGGGCAAAGAGGATGATTTCTCCCTTCCCTTCCCTTTTTTTTATTACATAAAAATGAATAAATAGTGATAAATTATTTCTAAAATACAATTATGTTTCATCAATACATTATGTTTCTACATAATGTAAAGAAAATATTTTGAGTTTTCAAACTGTTTTGTTTGTATTTCAAACTTCATAAATTATTTTGTTGTATTTAAAATGCCTAACACTTTAGAATATTTTTAAAATAAACACTATAGTATATAGAAAACAAAGAGTTATTATGGGAGAAAGTGTCTCATCTTAGAAGGATATAATTAGTGGTGTGCTACAGAGCCCTATTATTGGCCCTTTACTATTTATTAAATACATTAATGATTTGCCTGAAAACTTTATAAATATTTTAAAGATGTATGCAGATGATGCAAAATTATTATTAAGAATTGATTGTGAAGCAATTGTTAACCTTTAAGTACCACTGTCGCTGAAAAAGATCTTGTTGTAATATTTATATCTGACTTAAAATGGAAAAATCAAGTAACTCTACGTGCAAGTAAAGCAAATAAAGTTTTGGGTATGTTGAGGAATACATTTTTAGATTTAAACAGTGAGCTACTAAAAGTTACATACACAACTTTCTAAGACCATTAATTAAATTTGTTGTATCTTGTGGCCTCCATGTCTTCCAAATGAAATGTAGAAAAGTTTTGTGCTAAAAGAATAATATCGCCACTAATGAATTGTGGCGATATTAATCTTAATGAATTGCATGTTGCAACTAATGTATCAGGTACTCACAATGTAAGTGCATGCGTACATCACTAAAATGCAAATTTCCATTTTTATGCCATTAGGTGGAAAAAAAGTTATTAAGATTTTATGACTGTGTTTGTTTTTTGTATTGTTTGTTCTCTAGAAAATGTGCAGTGTATGCTACACCGATGTAAGCTATGTCTTGGTATTCAAGCATTAGTCTTTTAGTGCATGAGTTTATAGACCATGAGCTAGAGGAATATGTTGTATAAATGATTTCTTATCTGACAGCATTGCCAACCATACCACATATTCATTTATAGTTAAAATACAAAGCAGATACTTAAAAAACTCTGAAAAAGAAAATCTAAACCAATATGAATGTTTAATTATTGGAAATTTACCCTCTTTATATGCTCATAACTAAATTTGTCCTAAACTAGTTATTGAATAACACTATATTAAAGTTATAATTAAAATATCAAATTTTTTTCATTAAATCTAAGATGAAGTAATGATATACAATCAACATTTTTACCAGGGATATTGGGTGACAGCCTCCATTTCTGTTCCAAAAATCAATAATTTTCAAAATAATGATTTTGGATAACCAAGACATTTCTATCAAGTCCTCTATGTAATATTTTAGAATTCCTTGAGCAAAAATCTTTTTGATATAAACCGTTATTAATCTTAAAAGCAGTTTCAGGGAAAATCCTCCATGTGATTATCAAGATATATTTTTGATTAACATCTTAATAACGGTTTAAGGGAAAATCCTCCATGTGTTTATCAAGATATATTTTTGATTAATATCTTAATAACGGTTTAAGGGAAAATCCTCAAGATTATCAAGATATATTTTTAGCTAAATTTTTTCATAGGTATCATATATTATCAAATAAGCATTAATATGGACTGCAAATAATTTAAATGTAAAACAATTCTGAGACCTATGGGTAACAAATTTTTTTTAAGGATGATTTCAAATGGAATGAGCCTACAGTAACAAAACAAAGCAAAACTAATATAATATAATATAATAAAAAATTTAAATTAAAGTGCAGAAAACTTCAAGTATAGTAAATATATAAAAGTATAATAAATATATAAAAGTGTTTATTTGGTACTCAGCATTTAATTAATGTAATAAATCAAAGAAGTGTAGTGGGGAGTGTGTAAACCAGAATATAAATGTGTTCACTTACTTTAATTGGTAAAGGAAAAAAACAAGTTCTTAAGCTAATTCCAAAAAAACAGAGGTCTATAAATGGATACTGTCACCATTAATATTAAAAAGTCCAACTTCTTTTTTATCACCATTGATATAAAAACAGTTAAAAAAAAAAAAAAAATTAAAATGTTAAGAAAAATTATTAATAAAGTAATTAAAGGTAATACATGGAATATTTTCAAAAATATGTTAAATGTATTTACAACAACAACAACAAAAATTAAATAGAAAAAAAAAATCAATTTTTAATCGCCGCAGTTATCGCAGGTGGTCCAAGCTGTCGCACTTTTAATACTATATAAAACTCTAAACAAGAGAGCAATGAATTACTTAAATTATTTTTGGTAATTAAACTTTCTTTTATGTTATATAAAAATTATTTTAGTGAAGAATTTGTCTACAATAAACATGTTTTAGTCAAATTTTTAAATTGTTTTGTAAAGAGCATTCTATTTTTGTTTAAGTAATTAATTTTTTATTTTTAAACTATTTCAAAAATTCACTTTTTAAACATTCATTAAGTTTTAATAACTTTTTGGAAAATTTAAAAATTATTATCAAAGGTTTTGAAAAAGAGAGAGAAAACAGCAGTAACAAAAAAGTTTCAAAAAAAAAATTAGTCTTCTTGATTATAGAAGCCTTCGGAAAATTAGTTTAAAAATAAAAAATAGTTTTTTGAAAACTGCTATTAAAAATTAAGTATTTAAACGCATGGTTTATTGTTTAGCAACCAGATCGAGAATTTCTTCTTCGTGCATCTTTTATTGAAATATATAATGAGGTATGTTTGTATTTACTAATTACTTATTAAATTTTTTAAAAATGTTATATGCATGTTGAATTTATTAAATTATTTAATAAAGTTTTTTTATTACATGCTGTTTATTCCAGGAATAATACATGAATTTGCAAATGTTTTGTTTTGTTATTTCGTAAACAACATAAAACAAGGCAAAAAAACAAATTTATTGCATAATAATCCTGAACTTTTTTGAAAATTATTGAAACAAACAAAACATTTTATTAATTTAAAAAAAATACTTTTTCAGTATATTTTTAATTACATGGTTTTGATCTTATTATCTCTACCAAGGATTAAGCAGAACTATTTGTAGAATAACATAAATAATAAATCATGAAGATAGAAGAGAATTCCTAAGTACCGATGTTCGATGAAAAATTGGAAATTAAAAATATAAACAAAAACCTCAAGCGTAGTTGGAAGAGCAGTGGTGTACCCACCGGTTTTTTCCTAGTCGCCCTACAGGCGACTGAAAAAAACCTGAGGCGACTGAAAAAACTTGAGTTTTCTACTATGATAATCAATAGTCCTGTTTAAAAGTTTTTTTTAGTACTTTTTCTTGGGTGAAACTAATGATTTTTTTAAAATTTTAGTTTATACAAAGCCATGTACTTTGTTTTTAAGGAGCAAATTATTATAAGTTTGTTAGAGAAAAAGCTATAAAAAACAAAACAAAACAAAATAATAAACTTACGACTGCAAAAGTAACAACACTCTAGTCACTAACTGCATTATAAAAATAATAAAACTATAGTGTTATTACTTTTTTAAAGCACTTATAACTTATAGTTCATTCTTTTTTCAAAAAACATTAGTAATTTCAAACTTTAATAAAGTAGATCTCTATATATTTTATATTTTCACTTTATATTTTCTAGATCTAAGCATCTAGAAAATATAAAGTGGATATTCAAATATTATTAAAAACTATATTATTAAAATCAACTAATAAAAAGTTTTCATTAGTTGATTTTAAAATTAATGCGCGTTTTTACGGACCATAAAGAAAGTTTTTTTTAATGCTAAACCTTTTATACAGTACGTTTTTTATAAAGTTGTTTAAGTTTCTTAATAAGTTTTAAGTATTATTTAAATATTTTTCTAGATGCTTTTCTACTTTAATTAAAGTTTTATTAATAAAACACTTTTATTAATAAGCACGCTCTAAGTAACAAACTGTCTGATCGTTCTGCCTGGCTACTGACAGACATTTTTTTAAAACTTCAGTCGCCCTTTGAGAAAATGAGTTGTCCCATGCCACCGGACAACCATGAGGGTACACCAATGAAAAGCAGGTCCAACAATATTTGCAATTTGTTTTTTAAACTTGTCTCAAAGAAAAATTACCAACCTGATTATGGTAATAGTATTCCTTACAAAAACTGTAATTTTTATCTCTTTTCTGTTACATCTAAAGGATTGTAGTAGTTGATGAATTTGACCTAAACAAAACTCAGTTGATTACTGCTTATAATACTTGCAATGTTTTTGATATTGTTGAACAATATCAAAAAGCAGCACTCTTACTTATGCCTCTAGTTTATGTTCTCTTAGATTATTTTTCACTAATGGACTCTTATGGGTTCCCTATGTATACAAAGATCTTACAAAGATAGCATCTATTAAAGTTTCTCACTTTATCATGCTTTGCATTTTCTTACTCCTAATTCCATTTTTTACCTCTATAAGTCTATTATTTGACTTCTGCCCCATGGTTGTAAGGTGTTATTTTAATTTTTTTCCCAATACTACCATAATTGTTCCTTAAACAGCTATCATCAATTTTTTTATCAAACAAAACTCAATCTTGTATAACTGATCATCCAGCTAAATTATATCCTTTTACTGCAACTGTTCCTTCATTCTTAAAAAATTTGTTTCTTCACATATCAAATGTTTGGAATTTTCTTTTGTCTTTGTGTTTGCCTAAATTCAAACAGTTTACAGTTGTTTAAGTTTTGTGTTTTTACAAATTTTTTTTTAACTCTCATTTATTTCATGTTAACTGCCAACCTAAATAGTTACCGCTTGCTGCCTTGTTAAGAGTGAGTTTCTTAAAAAGAAAATCCTGATAATAATAGTCCAATCAACAATCAGTTGAAAGCTTTACCTTTCTTACTCATTCAGGTTCAGCACATTCAATACACTCAAGGTTGTAATTTTTACCTTTCTTACTCATTCAGGTTGAGCGCATTCAGTACACTCAAGGCTTCACCTTTCTTACTCATTCAAGTTCAGCTGTATTACTCTTGCCCTTTCTTGTTACTATGTTATCATTAGTTTTTAAGCAATTATGTATTGTGTATTCAGTCTTCTCCGTTTAGCCAGCACTTTTGCGCTTGACCACATGCAAGCTTTAAATAAATACTAGATAAATTAATTTATCTAGTATTTGTTTAAAGCATTATTTCCACTATTTTTATTATATTTTAAATAGCAGACAAAATAAAATTTTTAAATCTAAATGACCATCCTGCCAGTGCTTTTTTGTGCGCTGGCATTAAATTTCAAATGGAGAAGCCTGTGTATTGTATTGAATCAAGAAAGTTTATATATGTTTATATATGTTAGTACTTCTGATTGATTTTAAAGATTTAAAATAATCCTTTTTTAATTTTTTTCCTTTTTTATTTTTAATTTTTATTTATAATCGATCCATGAATATTTTGTTGTTTTATTGTTGCTAATATTCTAAATATATCATACATATAGTATGTTTTATTTTAGGAAGTAACAGATCTTTTGGCAAGTAAGAAAGAAAACATTAAGATTTTAACAAATTCTGAAAATGATGTTGTTGTTGAAAATCTCACAACTCACACTGTCATTTCATATGAAAGCACAATGGATTTAGTACAAAAGGGAATAAGTAAGGGAATTTTTATTTTTGCAATACAGCAATTGCTATTAGTTTTAATTGATATCTTTAAAATATTTGAAAGTATAAATAAATGTATATATATATATATATATATATATATATATATATATATATATATATATATATATATATATATATATATATATATATATATATATATATATATATATATATATATATATATGTATATATATATATATATATATATATGTATATATATATATATATATATATATATATATATATATATATATATATATATATATATATATATATATATATATATATATATATATATATATAAATAATGTTTTTTATATATCATACTTGTCTGACCTGGTTATTTTGTATCAACATCATTTTTAAACCTTGATGAAACTTTTTTCCTAAAAACTTTTACCCAGGAATATAAAAATTACCAATTACAATTGTTTCAAGTAACATTCTTTGAAGATTGCTTTGGCCATCTCAATTTGTGATTGCTTAATTTGCCTCTTGTCTTATATACTGGACAATTTAAAAAAGAATTTTAAGATTGGACTTGTTGGTATCTTTATTACCCTATATCATTTGCATCAAAATTGTTATGCAAAAATTATGGGTTGATAGACTCAATTGGGATGATAGAATTTTAGACAAGAATGTTTTTGATGTTGATTAATCGTTTCAAGAACTAAAATATCTTCAAATAATAAAAATTCCTAGAAGCTTGCAAATATCTTGAACCATCGCAAATAGATTGATACACATTTTTATGGTTGTGTTTTTTAACTCATAGAATAAAAAGATAAATAAAGTATAAAATAAAAAAATAAAAGTATAATAGTTGTCCTGTGGAATCGTAATGTCAAATACTTGAGTGAGTCTATTGCAATCTATTAATATACAAAGACTTTATTTCGAGCTGTTCTTGGTTTACCACTTGCAGAGAAGATTGTTAAAGCTTTGAAGCTTTGAAAAAATATTTAACTATAGGGTGTAACTATAGGGTGTAATAGTCTTATTGTTTTCTGGTGCATTAGAAAGTTAAAAATTGAAGCTGTATGTTGCCAACCATATCAGATTAATTTAATCAAAAACTGAACTAAAAGAATGGAGATATCAACAAATAAATGGAGATATCAATAAAAGAATGGAGATATCAACAAAAATTTATATAGCTGATTTAGCTATATAAATTTTACTAGAGGAATATTAGTGAAGGAGTTAAATATAACAGTATGGTGGATCATCTTTTTTACATTCTTTAGAAGAAAAATGACCATACAATTACAAGTCACACAAGAGGCTCAAGTTGAAGTAAAATAGATTGTGTTGATGAATTTTGTGTTATACAATGAAGTTACAGCTCAATTGCTTTATGTAAGTAAATTCTCATGTTAGAAAATTCTAAGGATAAACTGGTGGATACATCACTTTGTAAGTAACTGTCAAAGTGTAAATTATTGCTAAAGCTAAACATTAAATTAAAGCTAAACAGGAAAGATACAAAAGTAAATATAACAAGATTAAAAAAGGAAACATGCTATCAATATTAAGCAAAACTATTTTTTTAAATCCAAAAATCAATGAAGATGGTTTACTATGTTCTTGAATTGATTGAAAAATATATATTAATTGCACTTTAATTTTAAGTATTGAATCATTTTGACAAGAGGTCACATAGTTACAAATCTGACAGTTAAAAATTGTCAAAGAAAATCATGCAATGGGAACTAACTGATTACTGGGAACTAGTTAACTGTTGACAATGTTATCAGAACAATATTAGGTCAAAGACAAATCTGCCAATCAAATTGCAACAAATGTAAAAAAAAAAAATGTTAACCAACAATTGTATCTCTGTCAAGAATTTGCTTAAAGAACCAGTATGTGGATTTTTCTAGAGTTTGCATTGATTTTGCTGCACCTTTTCTTACTATGCAGGGTATAAAGAAGACCTGAAATTAAAGATACTTTTGCTTGCTAGTTTTTTTATTATCTTGTACAGTACATTTCAAAAGTGCCAGAAACTTTGATACAAATTTATTTCTCAATGCTTTTTATTGCTTGGTAAACAGAACAAGAATACCATTTGTTATTTTGACAGACAGTGAAACAAATTCGGTTTGCGAAAAATTATGAACTAAAAGTACAGTTGAATCCCGTTAAATCGGACCCTGGATAAGTTGGACTTTTAATAAGTCGGACGGAAATTCAATTCACCTTGAACATTCTCTATCAACTTACTGTAAAATCATTCGCTTAAGTCAGACCATTTGCTAACTTGTACTGTTTTTTGAGGCCCCTTCGGCAAAAAACTTCGCTTAACTAGGACTTTTATTTTAAATTGCATATAAGTGCATACAATAACAAAACTTCCAATACTTCAATAAAAATTCCAAACTTTAAACGCTCGAAAATAAAATACTTTTGCATCAAATATAATTAAACATAGCTGAACATTTTCACGGATCTTTCGATTCAGTTAAGCTTCAATTAAATTCTATTTGTTAATAATTATTAAATTAAAAACTCATAAGTATCAATTAAATTTCAAAACTTAGAATGTTCGAAAATTAATTACCTTTGCGTCAAACTTAATTTAATGAACTAAATATTTTCACTGATATCTTCGATTCAGTTATACTTTGATCAAGTTTTATTTACTAAAAATGATGAAAGTTACTAAAAGAAAGCTATCAAGTAGAACTATAACAGAGAAAAATACTAAGTTCTTAAGGACAGAGAAAAATACAAAATTCTTAAGCAACTCAACAAAGAAGAAACATCTGTATATATATCAAAGGAATATGGCATTCTAAAGCAAACATTGTCTGGATGGTCAAAAGAAAAAAACACAATATATTCAGAAGTTGAAAAAATAAAAAAACTTCTGCGAAAAGAGTGCAGATGCGCGTCTCTGTAAAGAAGGATTTGGATATAGCATGTAACATAAATTTTTGGATAAAGCATGAAATATCGGATGAAACGGTGACCATGCCAACGACTGAAGAAGTTCGTAAAGTAATTGATAATGGTGAAATTGGAAGAGTAGGTTTGAATGCTTCAAAGCTGTTTGAAAAAGAATAGTGCGAGTCACTGAAACAAACATCAATTTTGGACTTTTTTTGTTTATAGTATATACTATATATACACAAATATATATTTCATATAAGATTATATTGTTCTATATATATGTACATAACATTTATATGTCATAGTATTATATATTTAAGTCTCAAAATCTCAATATGCCGGACATTTTCAAAAAGTCTGACTTAACAAGAGCTTTGCTTAATTCGGACATTCGCTAAGTCAGACAATAAATATATCCCCTTTGGAGTCCGAGTTAACGGGATTCTACTGTACTTATCAACAGATAATTTCTATTAGTTTACAATATCTGCGAACAAAACCTTGTTATTACTTAGATAAAATAAAATTAATAGATCTACATCTAATAAAAGAATCAAGTGCCACTTTAACGGTCCATTAGGACCTCATCTTGTTGGTGTATTTGAAATAATGGTCAAGGTTTGATGATTTAATGCAAAATGTATAGTAACAGCAATACCTGGAAAAACCAATATTACAGATGTGCTAAAAGTTTTTTTATTTCCTGATTTTAAGGACTGAGTTGGAACTAAAACAAGTTTCTAATTTTATATCATTTTGAAAAGGCTTCCTTCCTTTTCAAAATGATATAAATCAAATTAAAAAAATAAAACGCAAACAGCCATACATTGGCCCCTCAGTAGAATTACAAGAGTCATCTTTACAAAAGTAAAGATGTCAGAATGTGAATAAATGTGTCAGAACTGTGAAAGTTAAAATGTGATAAAAATGAGTTTTTAGAGAGTAAGATTGTGCCTTCTTACCTAAGAATGTTTTGATGGAACGGAGTTCATCAAAACATACTGCAAAAATTATTAAGCATATATTAATTTCACAGAATTATGATATAAAAAGTTCTTATATTTAGTTAATCGAAAAATTGGCATTACAAACATGAATGAAAGGAGTAGTCGTTCTCATCTAATTTTTAGACTGGTATTTCTTCTTATTTTTTTGACTTTGTATTCCTTATTATTATATTTCTTGTTTTTCATTTTAAAGTGAGAATAGTTAAAAGTTCTTTTTCCTTTTAAGGAGATTCAAAACCTCCATAAAAGGCTAAAAATATGAATATAATTTATTTTTATATTATATATATTTAATAACAAATATGATGGATTTTTAAGTATAGGTATTTATTATTTGATAGGTTATAGAAAGTAGAGAAATCTTAGAACTAAACAACAGTATGGAAGCTAATGGTACCATCATAGCTGCTGAGCTAGTAATTGTTTACACATTTTCATTTTTAAAATGTTTTGAAATTGATATGTTAATTTCATTTGTTTTTGTAAAACTTTTTCTAGAATGTTGTTGACTTGGCTGGTTCAGAAAGAGCTGGCCAAACCGGAGCCCAAGGTATTTATATTATATATTATATTTTTTAAAATATGGAAGTTTTATATTTTTAATACAACTTCAATGAATAGTCAGGAGCTCTTTAATGTTTAGGGGTATTCTATGTATTTTAGGGTCACTTGATCTCAAACATAAGCATAATAAATATACCCTGTTCAGTACAGTCATAAAATCACTCAACTACTAATGGTAATATACTAATGATATAAAGCACTTATTCATGTTACAACATTTTGGGCAATTCTTTCATTAAGGGGCTAATAAAAATCATCACATCCAGTTGTTTCAAAAAACACTCAAGTTGTCATTTAATATTTAAAGCAAGCTTACTAATAACTGTGTCACCATATTTCTTCAGTTTGTTAGTAAGATGTATGTTGTTACTAAGTGCATCCATTGATGTTCAACATGAAAACCTTGAATGTATACTTAAGCCATAAATCTGTTGAAGCGGCGTTTGACTTGTAGTTTACGACCTTTCAACTGAAAAATGTTTACATTGCCTTTGTAAAACAGTTCAATTTTTAGCACCTTGGCCATTACCTGGACTTATATTTGGCACCTGGTTTCCTGATAGTTGCTTCAATTATCAACCCAATCATATATTCTGCCATCTGCAGAATTTCTTGATAATCTTTTTGCAGATGTTTCTAAGTTAGCTGATCATTTAATAAAAGACTTTTAACTCTCTGAGGCAACAATCAATGGATTTGTGTCAAGCTTTAAGCGAAGGCTTTTTTTTGTTTGTGTCAGGCATGAGTGCTTTTTTAAATTCTGATTCACACCCAACAAGGCTGCAAGCAACAACTATTAAGTTGAGAGTTACTATAAAAAAAAAAATAGAGTTATAGAGCAAGTAAAGGGTTGATAGAAGACTTGAAAAGTTGTAGATAGTTTCATGAATACCTGAAGATGGGAGAGTTCCAAAGGATTAAAGTGCAGAAAAAAAAACTATATGAATAAAAGTTTTTAGAGCATGCAGGGATGATTACAGTAAACAAATGAGACTATGCTGAATGACAAGTCAAACAAGAATGAGTTTTAGTTGATGGAACTAGAGATGATAACTCCTTTGAGCTCAAGCTTAGCAGGTAAAGCGGGTTCAACATTTACAATTGATTTTTGGACCTTGTCTTAGTGAGAAAGAGTATCATTAGAAGAACCAGCTCAAATTCAACAGTATTTAAGATGACTTTGTGCTTATTGGATAGTCCAAGAGAGTTTCATACATATGGTGTCTACATGTGCAAGAAATTCTCTCAGTTCTCCATCACTTAAAAAACTCTATTTTGTCATCCTGTAGTGCTTGGTGTGGTATCAAAGGACACTCCTATAATAACAGATATACACTTGAGCTACAGAAGAACAGCATCAGTGGTGACTGATCCAGTCTCCAGACAAATGGAGAAGTTTGCAATTGCCATATGCAGCAGATATAAGCCAGATATTTAGACAATCAATTAAAGTTGAACTGCAGAGATTGATTTTCTGCCCCAGTGTACAACAAATTTTGATTCTTTATAACATGGTTTTATTTGCTCAGCAGTTTCTTTACGATTATTATTAAAGTAACAATGCACAATATTTTTTGAATCTAGGGAGTGTGATGAAGATGTTAAAATATTAATTGAAACTGTGTTAGCTGTTTTTAATCCAGGCAACCCAGTTTAAATAATCACTTAAGTCAATGTGTATATATATATATATATATATATATATATATATATATATATATATATATATATATATATATATATATATATATATATATATATATATATATATATATATATATATATATACACACACACACATATATTTACAGGGTGTTAACAATTTCATGTCATAATATGACCATGCAAATACATTTTGATTTTAAAAACTTGATCATGGCTGTTGATATGTTTTAAAAATTTGTATACATTTTAAAAATGCGCTGAAAAAATGATCTTAAGTTAACTATAATGAAGCTTAAAAAAAAAATCGTAAAAGAAACAAATAAATCTTAGTTATAATAATAAAAAATGAAATAAAATTAACTTAACTAAAACTAAAATAAAAAAAATAAAATTAAAACTTAACTAAAATATATAATAAATTATAACAATAAGGTTATTTAGATTACGTTTGGAATAAATAACTTTGAATCATTTATCTTTACTAATGTTTTTATATTATAATATTATGCAAAACCCTTTTTAAATAAAGTAACAATTTATATCTTAACAATTTCAAAGTCTCAAAAAATCTCAAAAAAGTAACAACTTACATTGATTATAACGAAAAACAAACTTAAAACAATTAATAAATGTGCAGAGTTAAAACAAAAAGATTCTTAACAATTCTTCTCATTAATGTAAATACAAGAAAAAATAATTAAATTGTTTATTCAAATAGTTGATTTAATCTTTTTTTATTTAATGACATTTGTAAAATATACATATTTATATACATATAAAAAAACATATACTATTCATTAATATTTTTATAAAAAATCATTAGCAGTGATCTGTTATTTTATTCAAATGCATTTTAATAATATAAAAATACAAGTAAAGATCAAAGTTATTTAATTCAAATGGCCTGCTCAATGTTTGGAGGTTGAACCTTGCTCTACAATCTTCATCTTTTTTTTTCCAGTAACTTCCAACTCTAATGTTGTTTCTCTAAGTGTAATGTCTAACTCTAATGTTGTAACTCTAAGTGGTTGTTTGCAGCTTTGTTGTAAGCAAAGATGTTAATTAAAAAAAAAAAAAGAATGTATATATATATATATATATATATATATATATATATATATATATATATATATATATATATATATATATATATATATAAATGAGAGCAAGAGCGGAGAAAAGCTCTCCTAAAATGAACATGGCAAGCCATGCGAGCTGCTCCTCAAAACAGCTTCTTACCAGAGCTTTTGGTTTTTACATGAGCTATCTGTTTATTTATTTAAAAAGTTGCTTATATAAACAAAATTTGGTTTTATACTTGTCACAATCATATGTCATAATGTTAATGTTACAAAAATATATACATAACAAGCATCATTTATTGCTCTGTGTGAAAATTCTTTAGATAAGTGTTATCTTTGTGTTTTCACACAAGCTATCCATTTTTTTTATTAACAACATTTGATTGAAAGTTTGACAAAGAGCTATAAAAGTTTTTACTACTTATAAAAAATGTTTTATATTCTCTTATTGTAATAGAATGCCAATGCAGCCATTTTAAGAATTATTACAACAATTAAAAATTGCGCAATAAAAATGAATAATATATTAAAGTAATTAATATATAAAAAATATGATTTATAACATAAAATAAAAATTATTATGCCATAATTTAGAGTTTAATAAATTTATATTTTTCAGTTAGTTCAATCTAACCAAAAACATTTGCATTTCAATTGGCGCTCTTTTTTAATATTTTTCTTTATTTCGCAACAACTGTGGCTTTTAAAAAGCATTGCAGTTTATTATGCAATTAATTTTTTTTTTCAAATGACTTTTTGTTTTTCATTTTAGTTACAATGATAATTACATTTTTAAGAAAAAAATTATGCTTTTGCAAAAGCTGTAAATTATACATACATACATACATACATACATACATACATACATACATACATACATACATACATACATACATACATACATACATACATACATACATACATACATACATACATACCTACATACATACATACATACATACATACATACATACATACATACATACATACATACATACATACATACATACATACATACATACATACATACCTACATACATACATACATACATACATACATACATACATACATACATACATACATACATACATACATACATACATACATACATACATACATACATACATACATACATTCATACATACATACATACATACATACATACATACATACATACATACATACATACATACATACATACATACATACATACATTCATACATACATACATACATACATACATACATACATACATACATACATACATACATACATACATACATACATACATACATACATACATACATACATACATACATACATACATACATACATACATACATACATACATACATACATACATATATATATATATATATATATATATACATACATACTATATATATATATATATATATATATATATATATATATATATATATATATATATATATATATATATATATATATATATATATATATATATATATATATATATATATATATATATATATATATATATATACATACATAATAAAGTTTTTTAATTTCAATATTAAAGGCATTTGCTTTAAGTCTTTGATGAAGTAATCATTACAACTGTTGATAAATTTTTCTGTCTTATTAGTTTTACATATTTATTGCTAATTCCTTGAACTGTTTGTTGAAAGTAGTAAAAGCAAAGTGTATTTTTTTTCTGATATTTTTTCTTCTAAAACTGTTCTAAACCAGAATGTAGGTTTGGTAGTGTTAATCACTTTTCTAACCAAGCAGAAAAAAAAAAAATAAAAATCATTATCTTTTTTCTGATATTTTTTCTTCTAAAACTGTTCTAAACCAGAATGTAGGTTTGGTAGTGTTAATCACTTTTCTAACCAAGCAGAAAAAAAAAAAATAAAAATCATTATCTTTTTTCTGATATTTTTTCTTCTAAAACTGTTCTAAACCAGAATGTAGGTTTGGTAGTGTTAATCACTTTTCTAACCAAGCAGGAAAAAAAAAAAAAAAAATCATTATCTTTTTTCTGAAACTATTTGAATAGTTCTTTATTCAATTTAGTATACCCTTTATATTCCATTGTTGTTGTTTTTTTAAATAAGTTATGCAAATAATTAATTAAAAAGAAAAGCATAACCTTCATGTAGATGCTAAAACAAGAATTTTAGTTGCTTTAAATTTACCTTGTCTTTTCTTCTGCATCTGTCACACATTCTTTTTTCTAATTTTATTTTTCAATTGCTTAGGCAATTTATAAATTTTTAATTAAAAAGAAAAGGTAATGATAATAAGGTTTGCTTAATATTTATTTTTTTGCAAAAATATCTATTATTTTTTGCCTAAGCAAATCATATACATAGATTCGAACTAATTTTTTTGACTCTTTGTCTTTTAAATATAGTTAGGTATAGCTTTTATGCATAATAAAGATTTTATATTAACATTTTTAATTGCTATAATCTAGGTATTCGTTTAAAAGAATCATCCTTTATAAATACAAGTTTGATGTCACTTGGTGTAGTTATCAGAAAACTTAGTGAAGGTGATAAAAGGTATTTCCAATTTATTTTTTTTATGTTTAATTTTTTTTTAAATAAGTGTTACAGTTTTGGTCAGGAATGGTATGCGAAAACATTTTCTTGTTGTGACTACTTTACCATGGCTTGTCAGATGTTTTGAGAACATTCAAGTTTAAGTATGTGTCCATGTATGTCTAAATAAAAATTTCAAATTTGTACTAAAATAATTAATTTTGTAAACTTTTCTGATCAAATGTTTTTATATTAGTAAGTTGCTAATTTTTTAAGTCATCAAAGATTTGTTAAGTTTATTATATATAATAAATTTCATTAGCAAGTTATATAAAGTTTTGTAAGTTATATAAAGTTTATATAATGTATAAATTATTTATTTGTAAATATATATTACTTTTTAAAATTAAAACAGCAGTTCTGCTTTTGATAAGTTTATTATTTTAGTTTAACTTTATATTATTTTGATAAAATTAAACTTTAATTTTGCAAAGTAGAAAAAATAATTATAATTTAAATGTTTCTTTTATAATGAAAATTAAATTTTTTTATGTAACATAATATCAATTTTAATGTTTTATATTTATTAAGAAGAAGTAAGTTACTGACAAGTTAATTAATTTGTTTTTTTTTTTGTGATGCCAGAATATCAATATTTGGTTACCCTGTACTATCAGCTATCTTTTTCAGTATTATATTTTTTGTTTTCATATTTTTTAAAAATAATGATCAAAGTGTTTTTGCTTTACAGTTGTCATATTCCTTATCGTGACTCTAAACTCACTAGACTGCTTCAAAAGTCTTTGGGAGGTAATGCTCGGACATGCATTATTTGCACTGTTTCACCAGTTGTTCTTGAAGAAACACAGCAAACACTATTAGTTAGTGATTTTTAATTTTTTTTTTAATGTTTAATTAATAAATTAATTAAAAATAATAATAAATTAAAAAAATAAATAAATAAAAAGAAATAATAATAAATTAATTAAAAAAAAAATCAACCTTTTTCCAGAGCTTTTTTACCTTTTCTTCAAAACTAATGGGGCTAATACAGTAGTAGACTACTCTGCACTACTTTTTATTGTTATTTATTGTTGAATGCAGAACCAAGTTTAGCAGTGTACTTATGAGGGTTGGGTTTGAACTTAGTAGTTTTACTCAACTACTACACCATTGTTGCATGAAAACAGCAAAAAAGTCAATCCTAGTTAATTTGGCTTATTGATTTGTAGCTTACTCAGCTTGTACTTGATAAAGTTTTTTCTTCAGGTGCTCCCTTATTTTTGATTAGGTGTATCTGATTATAGCTCCTGGAATTTGGGTCAGCATTTAGTGATGCTGATCTAACTACCGACCTAAAAGTGTCTGAGATCAGCTGTTTTTAGCTTTTAGTGTTTCAGGGGATAGGGGTTGAAATAAATATTCCTGATTGCGAACACTGGTCTTTATGGAAAGTAAATAAAAAACAGAGCCAACAAAACATTAAATTGTTTGTTAAAAAATTAATTTAAATTAATGTCATTAATTGACCAATTGTTCAAAATTTGATTTTTCACATTGAAACTATAATGGTAGAAACCATGTGCAGTCTTTTTCATTTCTTTATCAGGTAAATACTTTTAAATTTTTTAAATATTTTTTTAAAACCTTATTCTGTTATACGCTGCTCCAGTACGTCATATTCCTTTCTCTGAAAGATTTTTTAGTAATTGTAGATTGTGAAAAATTGTCTATCTATATATACAACATAGTTGTAGGTTTTTTAAAAGTGTTTGTCATTCTCAATACAACGCTTCTTCCAAAATTATTCAATGAATATGAAATATCCCTTCTAAAATTTTTCCTTCCTAGACCTCCATTTGTTAACAATATTCAATATGTGCTCAAATCTAACAGACTTTCCATGAATAAGATGCTTCATAAAATGATATCAGGCATTCAATAGTCAATCTGCAACCATGATTTTTTATGGAAGTTTTAGTTTCTTCCACAATCATTTCCATCAGATTTTTGCCAAAATATCAACTTGTAAATTTCTATAGATGTTTTATTTTTCGTTATCTATTTCAAATTTTCCTTATGTTGGTCTCCTAGGGATTTATATGATTTTGAGTATTTTGGACAGAAGTTTTGCCAGCATGGCTGATTTTTTTTATGTTCAGAGTTTTCTTTTGATCTCTTCCTTTTTCTTAATGATCTTGTTGTTTTTTCATGGTTTCTATATTTAAAACGTTTTTCATCACTAACATTTTGTACATAATGAAGTTCCACTTAGGCAATTACATCGTATTTATTGTCTACATCCAAGTTTTTTTTGTTCAGATTTGCTTTGTCAGTTTGTTCATTCAAGCATGGCCATGCTTGCAAATAAAATGGTAAATTAAAATAAATCTGATGAAAATTAACTTCTCATGGCAACAGAGCTCTGCTAAATGTCAGTTTTTTTTTTGGATAAATGTCAAAAGAGCTCTGCTAAATGTTTTTTTCTTCTTGTAATTAACGTTCAAAAAAATATGTATGTAGTTGTTTTATAAAGTTCTACAATGGTGCAGCACATATGATGGAATTTGGAAGTAAATAATAGTCAGGTACGACGCAATTGGTGAAGAAAAGTTTTCATTGGGCACAGTTAGCTTGAATTTGATGACACTGTCATTGGAGGCTTTTTGCTTTTTGCAAGGTTTGGTCTATGAATCTTGACATTCTTGAAGGAAGTCATTTTAAAGAGTTCGATAGTCTTTGATAGTTTCTTTATAACTGCTATTAGTTTTGCATCATTAATAAACATAATAATTATATTTTACATTATTTATAACAACATAAAATTTAATTTCCTTATCATGGGTTTGCATAAATCTAAAAACTGCATTTTTTGATTTTTTGTATTTGTTTGTTTTGTTTTCATTGCAACCAAATGCAAATAACTGCGTAACTGTCAAATCTGTATGTAAAATAATAAATTGTACTATTTCATAAACTATATTGATGAATACCTGTCAAATCTGTATGTAAAATAATAAATTTCATAAACTTGATGAAGTTAAAATAATAGTTACTATTCAATAATCTTTTTTGTTGTTTCGCTGTATGTGGTAATGCTGTATTGAAATGGGTTAAGGAAAAAACGAAGCTAAATAATTTATGCTTTTTCTTTATAGTTTGCATCCCAGGCTAAAGAAGTTAAAAATCGACCAACTGTTAATGAGGTAATCTCAGATTTAATGATTGTTCAAAATTACTTTTTTTATATACTATATTTATTTTTTCATCAGAGAAACAAACATCATATAAAATAAGAGATAACAAAATAAATAGTAATAAAATAAGAAATAAGCATTTTTTTTGTCACTTTATTGTTTAATGGAAACATATTCAATGAAGTTTTTTGATGAAGTTGTATTTTCAAAACAACTATATAATAAACATAGGAATGAAGTTTATAAATGGAAATTTATTATTTTTCAAAATATAAATAAAGCTATAATTTTTATAACAATATGAATGACTGTTAAACTTTTTAATTTCTAATTTAGATAAGTGCATCATATATCAAGTTTTTTTTAACAGGTTCTGGATGATAAGTCAATGATGCGCAAACAGATGAATGAAATAAACCTGTTAAAGAGGAAAATTATTGAAGTAAATTTTTTTTTCAAATTTATATTTGACAGGTATTTCCACTTTCTTTAAATAATAATTATTCAATAAAGTAGCAATTATTTTTCATTTTTAATAACCTTTGTTTTTTTTTTCTATTTTTGTTCTACGACCTTTTTAGTCGTAGAACAAAAAATTAAATAAACGTTTTTAATATATGAAAAATCTATATATAAAAAAATTTAATGTATAAAAAATATATATATATATTTTAGTTGGAAACAGGAATATCACATTCAGAGAAAGATAAAGTAAGTACAATTATTTTGTTTTAAGTTAAACCCCACTATTTTACAAATAGTGGGGTTTTAAATCATTATCTTTAAAATGTGCTTTCATATTATGATATTTAAAGGCTAGTTAAGATAGTTTATTACTATGGCTCCTTTCATATGTCAGAAGCTCCAAGTTTGATCCCCACCACATCCTTTTTCTTTGAGGTTTGTGTTTAGGTGTTATAGAATTGGAAGAGGATTGTAACCACAATTTGAAAAAAAAGCAGCCTCCTTGGCTGTAGTGACTGCCATGGTCTTAGAGAATAATTATCTTCTGAAACTATTTTAGTTGCTCTAAAAGCAAAGTTTGACACTTTAATGTTGAAAAATTAAATGTGAAGCATACATTAATTTTGATCATTTTTAAAAAACTACTAAAGTAAAAACTTGATAAATGTAGCTTGTTTTTTTACATATTTGTACTTATTTACATACATACATACATACATACATACATACATACATACATACATACATACATACATACATACATACATACATACATACATACATACATACATACATACATACATACATACATACATACTTACATACATACAAACATACATACATACATACATACATACATACATACATACATACATACATACATACATACATACATACATACATACATACATACATACATACTTACATACATACATACATACTTACATACAAACATACATACATACATACATACATACATACATACATACATACATACATACATACATACATACATACATACATACATACATACATATATACATACATACATACATACATACATACATACATGCATACATACATACATACATACATACAAAAAATGTTGCTATTTTTTCAGACATTATTTTTAAAGATAAGTTTGATGCATAAGTTTTAAAAATTATTTTATAAGGAAAAATCATAAAAAAAAAAAATCATAAACAGTCTCCTATCTTATCTTTTGGAATTCAATCTTGTATTTTTAAACTGTTTTATATGGGTACTAAACAACAATCTTCTGATTATAATAAAAGATTCTAATAATAATAAAATTGTTGCTTATCTTATACTTATTGGGAGTTTCATTTCATTACCCCCTGAATAATTGTCTGCTTTTAAATCATTTTTTTAGATTCTTGCTGAACAAATTTCTTACCAACAAAAGATTGTAAGTTTGTTTTTAATTTCTGTAATATTTTGAATTCTAACAGATAATTTTTCTAGCTATTTAAACAATTGTGGTTTGATCCAAATGCATAAAAATCTATAGCATGTTTATTTTATTATTTAAAACAAATTTATTAAAAATTATTAAAATTTATTAACGTTTATTAAAATTTATTAAAAATGAGGTTAAATGCAGCAGAACAAAAATCGTTTTAAAACATCTCAAAATTAAAAAACAAGCAAACAATAATATATAAAAATGTGCTATAGTAAGAAGCTGAAAACTTGTTATCAGCTCTATAACACAAAATCATTTCTGGTTGTTAATGTGGATTGCCGTATCTAATTGAGGTATGTCTGAACCTTTGTTTCTTACTACCAAGGATGTAGCATTCAATTTCAAAAACTAATTATACTAAAACTAATACCAAAATTTTGGTATTATTTTTGATAAAATTTTTGCCAAAATGTCAGTGTTGGATTCGATATTGAACAAGTATCCAAAATTTCTGTTTATTTGGATTTAGTTGTATTTCCTGTTTTAGTTGATAACTACTCTAAAGATTCTCTTAATTGGATGGTCGAATATGTCAATTATGTTGATAAGGAATCCAATTCACAAAATGTGCCTCAAGCATAGCTGATTGAAAACTTTTGAGGGCATTTGGCTCAAAAGGTTTACAAGGAAGATTGGAAAAGTTTAACAGAGAAAGTTTTGATCACATTAAGTTAAAACTAAAGAAATTCATTTGAACTTCTTTTAAAAATGCTTATAAAAGGTGTCAAAGTAAAATTGAGATCTGTTACAGATGATGTTGCAGATTATGGAATTTTTTCATATAATTGATTTTTATTCAAAAATAAATACTTTTAGAAAAATATTCTAATAGTTTTATCTGTTTTTTAATAAGATGTTTAAGTTTTTATTCTGTCCTTTGACTTATGCATCACCTGTTGCAAACTTTATTCTCTTGCACCATCACTTCATGGTGTGCCTTGGTTGGTGTACCTAAACATCCAGTTTTTAGTTAACACACCTTTATTTGAACAGTTTTATTTTAATTTACCATTTTATTTAGTTTGATGTTTAGTATAACATGTTTTAGTAAGTTATGTATATGTTTCATTATAATTCAAAAATAACCAATTTAGAATAATACAATTTAATAATTTATAGAATATAATTTACTAACAATAAAATAGACAGTTCACAATGCTATAAATAAATAAATTACAATCCTAGCAATGTATAACCCTTAGTACAACTTGTACATTAGTACAACCATTAGTATCACTTATTTTAGATTTTTGTTTAAAAAGATGACAATTTTAGTCTGTTAATTTTAGTCTCTAAAAGAAACTTTTTTTTAGTTTGCAAAAAATGGTTGTTAGCACTTTAATAAGATTCTTTTTTAAAAATAATTTTTAAGGAAAAACAAAGAGAGCGCATATCCCTTCTTCTAAAAGAAATTGTTTGTACTGGAAGAAGAAGTTTTCAAGTAAGAACATAATATTTTTAAAAAAATTGTAAAAAATTATAATTCTTGTTTGTTATTCTAAGTTTATTTTTATGTAGAATGTCACAAAGAAGGATAATATGAGGAGACTGACATGGTGTCCTGGTGGTTTATTAAAAAGTGGAAAAAACTTTAATGATATTAAATCATTTGATGAAGATATTGAAATGGATAGTAAGTGCAAAGTTTTTTTTTAACTGAAAAGTTTTTTAAAAAGAAGTTTAAGATTTAGCTTGATCTTAACTTATATGCTTAACAATAAACGATCATAAAAAAGAATCAGCTTTTTATATGTTTATATGCAAATATCTTAATAAATAGTTTTAATAATAAAGCAGAGTTTATGCATACATTATTATGTAGTATAAACCTTTGAAGATTATAAGTATTAATTTTTATCAAAAAAGTTTTTAGTTTATTAGTTAAGCATAGTGAGGTTTTTGTAGAAAAAGTCAATAAACAAATAAATTTAAATATGTTAAAGACATTTTTTTTTTTCAACATCTTCCAACAAAGCTGCAAGCAAGCACTATTAGAGTTAGAAGTTACTGAAAGAAAAAAGATAAAGTTTATAGAGCAAGATAATGATTGACAGACGACTTACAAATTATATGAATCAGGAAAGCAAGATGAAGGAAGCGAATTCTAAAGAACTAATGTTTGAGGAAAAAACTAGAGGAATAAGAATTTTTAGAGCATTAGGAACAGTCACAGAAAAAGGATGAAACTTTATTGAATGACAAGTAGTATGCGAATAAATTTTAGTAGATGGCACAAGAGACACTAGTTCTTTAGAGCAGCACCCATTAGAGCATTTGTAGAAAAGAGAAAGAGAAGCAACATGTTTACAATGCGTTTTGGCACCTAGTCTAAAAGAGAAAGGGCATCATTAGAAGATCGGCCTCAGAAATGGCAACAGTATTCCAAAAAAAAGGCTGGATTTGAGATTTACAGAGATAAAGAATAGAATTCAGAGTTAAAAAGTGTCGAGCTCGATAAAGAGCAGATGCTAATTTTGCAAGGGATTTGATATACGGTTTCCAAGAAAGATTGGAAGTAAGAGTTAATCCTAGAAGATGAAGGGTAGATGACTCATTGAGTATATAACTGTTCATAAATATAGGGAGGTCTAAATTATTGCGATAACAATTGGCTGAAAAGAAATTAAGTTTTATCTGAGTTAAAGTTCACCAGCCACTCTGTGCCCCATGCTGTAGCATAAGTGTGATCCTTTTCAAGCTCAAATGCCCCCTCCAAGCAATTAAAGAGTGCTGGCTTCTTATCTTGACAAGAATAAATGGTACTATCATCAGCGAACAACGCCACCCTAGATGTGAGAATATCTGGAAGATCGTTAATGTAAATTAAAAAGAGTATGAGGCCAAGAATTGAACCTTGAGGAACCCCTGAAGTTACTGGATATAAAGAAAGGTGCTGTCCAACAAGTGTTTGTTAATTAAAGATTCAAAAACCTTGCTTATGATAGAAAGAAGACTAATGGTATGGTAGTAAGACAAATCAGATCGCTCTCCAGAGTTTTTGAAAATAGGGATAACAAAAGCTGGCAAGTGCTTATTAGAGTCTTGTTTTCCAGCTGGCTGGAAAACAAGACTCTAATAAGCACTTGTTAAATAGTTTTGAAAGTATAGACAACAGCTTTGGAGAACACTTCTGCAAAACTATAACAAGTATGTTGTCCTGACCACAAGTTGTAGAAGAGTCTAAGCAGGAAATCACTTTAGATACAGAAGCTGGAGTGATACAAATGTCAAGCAATGGATAAACCTGTTTTGTGGCTATATCTGACAGAACACAACTAGTGCAATAAGGAGATGATATTGTTGAAATGCTCTTAGCAAACAACTCAGCTTTGTCTTTAGGTGAGGTGACAAAGTCAGAACCATACAAGAGAGGTGGAATAACAGATTTGTCCTTATTACTGATACTGTTAAAGATTCTCTAGAAGTCACGAGAGCCTAATTTTTGTGATGAAATACAAGATTTCATGACCTGAGAGTAGCGGGCTTTGGCGTTAGACAAAACCTTTTTACAATGGTTCCTAGCAGTAAAATCAGTTTTCTGGAGAATTATTTTGCTGGTAGATATGGAAGTAATGGTTTCGATTGGCAATTGCAGCAGCACAATGTAAGGAAAACCATGGAGAAGAGTGAGGCTTGAGAATAAAAGATTCTATGCCAGCCTGAATCCACAAAGTTATGGAATAAGCACAGTAGGAAGACTGAAGATTTCTACCCAAGGGCCATCATAAAGAAAATCACGGAAAGAGTCCCAGTCAGCTTTAAGGTAGTTGTAACTGGTATGGTGATAGGGGGATTCAGATACTAAAGAAGAATGAGATAATAGTTTTAGAGAGCTCAAACCGTGATCAGAAACACCTAAGAGTGAATGTGGAGAAAATGAGCACTTACTAGGATCAGAAACATGACATAAGTCGAGTAGAGAAGGTAAATGATTCGGGTTGTCTAAAAAGCAAGTTAAAGTTGATTATTTGAATTAGGGATTGAAAAAGGCAATCGTTGTAGGCTTTAACACATGCAAAGTCACTGACATTACAGCCAAGCCATTTAGTGTGATGAGCTCTTGATGGATCCTTTGAAAAGATTGAATAGTGTTATTAAATTTTTTTTAGCTCTTGATGGATCCTTTGAAAAGATTGAATAGTGTTATTAAATTTTTTTTAGCTCTTGATGGATCCTTTGAAAAGATTGAGTATCAACTACTGAAACAAGAGTTTGACGAGTATAAAGGTTAGTTGTATTTAACACTTTTGCTCCACATTGCTTTTTATGTTTTGGTACCATATTAATATTTATAAGTTCACTGATGCTTTTTAAGAAAAGTTGTTCATAAAAACTTACAAAAATACTCTTTTAATCAATAAATAGTAATTAATAAATGTCTGGAATTAATGTATAAAAAATGTAATTATTTATGGTTATCTAGTTTTATTTCAAAAATGTGCTTTAATTTAAATGTGCTAATGTAGAGTACTTTAAAAACCTTGCACAAGCTTAAAAGTGTCACAGTGAACCTTTGTACACTTGAGGTATGGCTCTGAAACAATTTTGAGGTATGGCTCAACAAATTTTAATTTAAGAATTATTACAGTTAATACATTTATAAAGATAAGAAAAAAAAAAAAAAAAAAAGAAAAAAAAAATTCTTTTGAAAGCCGTTACAATTAAGTTTGATCTTAAATGCTTTTAAATTATTGAAATGCTTTTTAATGAAGTAACGAAACACTTCTAATGAGTTTTTATATTAAGTACTAGTGTTTTTTCTAATTTTATTTATACTTATATATATTTTTTATGATAAATGTAAATCTTTTGAAACAAATTAAAAAAAAAAAGTTAAAACAATGAATGAAATGGTTTTTTATTGCGTACTTATTTAGAATTTCAATAAGTTTTCAATGAAGATCTTCTCTTGTACCTGTAGAAATAAGAACCGTATATAACTTTTACACTTGAGTAGTGAGTTAATCATTGAAATAACTTGATAATTTTTGTTTTCTGTTTTGTACAAACAATGAATAAAAAGTTATGAAGTCATTACTGCTAACAGATAGAATGGAATGTTTGCTATTTTCAAAATGCTTTGTCTCAATTAGAATAGAAAATTTAAATTAAAAAATTAAAACTTGTTTGAGTTTCCAAAAATTATAAGTTTTAATTAGCGCATTTTTAAATTTTAAAAACATGTTAAAAGCTTTGGTCAAATCGTCAAAACAAAGTATTTTTTTGTCACATCTTCCTGTAAAACATTAGAACTTTACATTATTTTTGATGACACTTTTATCATTTAATTTGTACTTTTTTATTTCATTTTACCATTTTTGTTGGCATTTTTAATTTATTCTTTTTGTTGGCGTTTTTAATTTATTCTTTTTGTTGTTGTTTTTATTTTATATTTTTTTTGAAAATCCTTATTTATTTTTAACTTTTACAGCTCAAACATGCTCTCCTGATGAATATATAAAACTAAAAGATAAACTTACTGCGTTAGAGATTCAACATGAAACAACAAAAAATAAATTAAGAGATTTAATAATCAATCAAGAACCACATGAAGCTGTGCAAACACTCAGAGAAGAAAACAGCAGGCTGTGCAATAAAAATGAAGTTCTATCTAATGATAATGCAAAACTTCAAGCTGAAATTGATATAAGTAAAGCCAAAATAAATTCATTAATTGATGATGTTGCTATGTTACAAGAGCAACAAGAATCAATGGTAGACAAAGATTATCTTGAGCGGCTTAAAGAAGTGGTCAATGCAAAATCACTTGAGCTTGAAGAATCCAGAAAAAAATGTGAGCTTGAAAATGAAGAGTTAATTCATGCTCTTGCAAGTAATGATTTTTTGTACTTTTTTATTTTTGTAGCATTTGTTTGTTAATTTTTGTATTATTATTTTTTTATTTTTGTAGTATTAGTTTATTCAAAATTTTTAACAATTTTTAGATCAAAAGAAACTTTGGAATGAACAGGTAATTTCTTTAGAAGAACAAAAATTCAATCTTGAACAAGAATTACATGCTGCCAACAAAAAAATTATTCACGAATGCAAAAAATCTGAAGACTTTCAGAGTAAGATTTTTTTTTTTAAAATGTATGTATTTGGCAGTAAGAAAAAAATCTACAAATTTAAATTACTAGAAATAACAATAACTAGCTGTCATGACCCGTAAAATACGGGTCTTTAGAATATTGATGCACACTTTATCCGCGTGGTTACAGTTCATAAGAACTATTATCCGGTTTATAACGCAAGAAAATCTCAATCAAATGAAAACATCTAAATGATAACTTTTAATGTCCTAGATACGAAGATTAAACTTATTGATTGCGTAAACACTAACTTTAACATAAATGGCATTTGCAAGACACTACTTGCAACGAAAAAACAAAATTTTGAAATTTGTGAACGATTTTTTTTCTCTCGTTAGCGAAGTTGGTTCTGTGTCAAAATGCGAGGATCAAACTTTTGATTAATATCTTTACATATGTTGTCTATATACAATATCTATAAAACTTTATAAGTATTTGAATTTGTATTTAAAAAAATCTAAAAAAAAAATTAAAACAGTAGTCGCCAACGGTAGGACTCGAACCACGGCAGCTATGTTCCGAAGCCCAGCGCGCTAACCACTCGACTACGCTGACGCATTAAGAAATAAAGATTCAAAATTATATAAAAATTGTTTTTAACGGATATAAATGCAAAAGATTAGAAATCGGTATTATGCTAATATTAAATAGTTTAACTTTTAATTATTTTTAGAAACAATAAATTTTATTATAAAATAATTTTGTGTACATATAAAATTAAAATCTTTAATTATGTTCTAAATAAAAATATACTTTTTAAGCCCCCTTACCATTTTTAAAAAAAGTTATGGTCGCCGCGTGGCAAGTTCATCAGCTTGGCACGCGGTTTTGTTGTTTAAAATGCAAATCAAAAGTTATATAGATTTTATATTCTATATATAAACATGTTTTTTACTAATTTTCCTTGCTCAATTTAGTTGTAAATAAACTTGAAAAGTTTAACTAAAATAACATGAGTATCTCAATAATGACACATGCGCAAAAAAAATAAAAAAGAAGGTCGCCGATGGTAGGACTTGAACCACGGCTGACTTGGTCAGAAGCCCAGCGCACTAACCACTCTACTACGCTGTCACGTAGTGTCTTGAAGATTTCAAATTATATAAAAATTGTTTTTTAACGGATAAAAACACAAAAGATTAGAAATTAAGCAAAGGTTGACGAAATGCAGTTCTTAAGTGAAAATCAAACTGTTGAACTTGATATATGTTTAAGCATGTTTTAACATTACATAACATGAAGTTTATGTAATGTTAAAGTTTTGCTTGCGTTTTCTTATAAAGCAAAGGTAAGACTCTTTCTTGTCACTACCTCGGATGCAATGGTTGCCAAGAGTATCGTGTCAAACAGGCTCGAAAGCGCACTCCTACTACTACTATTAAGTCCGGTATTATTATAAAGAGATTTCTAGCTTGTTTTTCTTTCCTTATAATTTTTCTGGGTTGACTACATCATGTCTGCATATATTGCATTTTCTCAGTGTGTACATCATTTGTAATTGTTGTGAGCAACCATAATTACTGCATAATCATTTATAATTTTATGTGAATCAAACATAAGTATTATAGAAATTACATAAATTGTAGGATTTTCAGGAGTCTTTAAATTTACTAAAGTAATATATGATATGGGATAATTACTTTGTACTAAGTGCTAATTAAGCTTATATATTTTTACTTTTCTGTTGGTTTTTTTGTTAGTCAATGTTTTTGTAAAGAATGTAATCAATTGTTAAATAGAAATGGTTGTTTTGCCTTTTTATGTTATTAAGAAAATTTGTTTTATTTTAGAGGAGTTACAACTTTTAAAGGAACAGTTTTCTATTCTAAAAGAAGAAAATAGCAAAGCAAAATCTCAAACTGAAATGTTTGTTGATGAATGCAATGATTTGAAATTAAAGTCTGACCTATTAATCTCTGCTGATGAGGATATCATAACAAAGAACCTATTAGGTTTAGATTAAATTAATTGATAAATTAATAATAAGGCTCCTTGTAATTAATATAATTCTTTGATACAAATGTTTGGCTAGTTCAATGTGGTTTTTTAGAATTGAATATATATAAAAATATTTTTTTCCAATTTTTTATTAAAAAAGTTTAATTTTTAGGCATAACTTTTTAAACTAATAATGAAATTTTTTTTTCTTAGCAAAATTGTTAAATGCGGAACATTTAATGGTTTTGTGTGACTGCCAGACTAAAAATAGCAAAGTTTATAACCAATTACAATTTTTCCTACTGAAATTTATTTTCTGGCTATTTACTATTTTACTAGTGTTTAAAAAAAATAAACGTCTCAATTATGTCATTACTGATACCAAAACTTTATGTTTAATAGATTATTTATAATTAAAACTGCAAGCTAAAAGTGCATAATTAAAACTATGACTGCAAACAATGACATGTTACATAAAGTTTTATAAGTATTTATAATTATGTTTAGTTAAAAAAAGCTTTATCTGTTTTGAATTAAGAATCAATAATCAATGTGTCTAAATGTTATAGTTCTATATATTAAATATTCAGAAGCACCCAACATTACAACAACAGCAACAAACACTCAGGATATCATAAAAAGTATTTAAAGAGATAAGTTCTAGTGCACAAATTGACAAAAGTTCTGTGTGGTTTTATTTTTTGTTTTTCAAAGAAAATCAACTTGTAGAGTGTAAGAAATCCGACAAAATGTGTAAGAAAAGATGTAAAATCGTGGTGGCGGTACCAGCAGACTCCATACACATCTATAAAAAACCATAAAACTGTCTTTCTGAAGAAAAAATTTCCCTTAATAAAAGACACAGCATTTTCATCAGCTTGGTTTTCATTGGTTGTTTCATTCATTGATGCTCTTGGCGAAAAAATCCAAACGTCATATTTCTTTTAGAATCAACTTGAAAAGTTGTTACTTACAGTTTTTTTAGATTAATTGCCCTTAATGGACTGCCCTTTAGTGCATTTGTCACATCAGCTGAACTGAGAACATTTCTAGAAGCTTGTAGAATTGTTTTTCCAAAATCAAGGATGACAAAATGATGAGTAATATAAAATATGATGATCAAATACAAAAATACAATCAGAGAGACAGTCATATCCAAGTTCACTTGCTTCTAATTGCAAGAGACAATTCAGTTTGATTCAAGTTTAATGAGTGGACATCAATGTAGATATGTAAACATTCACATTAAGGATAACTTTAATAACCTTAAGTTAGTTAAAACTTAAAATGTTGTTTATTACCTGCCTGGTAAAAAATGCATTTTTTACCAGGCAGCTAAGGAGTTAGTTTAAAAATTATTTAAGCAATTTGTGCTGAATTATTATGAAGAACTTGTGTACATTACTACTGATAGAGCTTCCAAAAAGTGGGATGATTAAGATATTGCGATCAATATTGTGCATAGGATTCAAAAGGATATGTATAAATGGGTGTGTCAGACATTTGATACAAAAATGGTCACATTTGGTACAAAAATGGTGAAATTTGGTACAAAAATGGCTGTGTAAGACATTTTGTATCAAAAGAAAAGGAATTTGTTATGAAAAAAAGTGAAAATGATGTCGATGATGTTAAAAATGAAAATGAAAATGATGCATAACCAGGTCTGCAAAGTTAGAGACCAGGAGTCTTTATTTTTACCCGGAGTCTGATGTCCCATCCATTATAAAAATGTTGGAAAACCGGGACACCGGGATTATTTAAAATTTTATTTCAACATATAAATGTTTCCTAACTAACCCTCATTAACTTCTATAAGTTTATTAAATTAAGTTTGTTGTTGTCAGCAGTTACATAACTTTAAACCAGTAAAAGCACAAATGCATTAAATAACGCTGCATATGGCATGTCCCCATGCATATAAATTAATTAAAAATGTGTTTATGCCATACATCGTCTATAGCAGACATTGCTTTTAAAGAATATAAGAGGTGATTCATAGCATATGTGATACACAAAACTTTTGGTGTAAACACTGATAGCAAGATGCCGAATTATGCTTAGGTTTGTCATTGTCCCAGTTTTTCTGTAGGAGAATAAAATGGGAATTTCAATTTTAATTAGTTTAGCGCTTTGCTTTTCTACGTAAAAACAAGGATAATGTTAGCTTAGGCAAAAATATTTACTCACTTAAACCTACTCCAGCAGTGGTGCTGTTCAGGCTCAAAACCAAGAGGTCAGAGTTTTGACACCTGCATTCATGCTCAAATAAAAGAAAGTATTATTCTAACTTATTTTCCTAATAATATTATTTACAGATATGGTTTTACTGATAAAATAATATTATTTAAACTGATATGGTTTTACTGATAAAATAATACTGATGGTTTTACTGATAAAATAATATTATTTAAACTAACAGATATGGTTTTACTGATAAAATAATATTATTTAAACTAACAGATATGGTTTTACTGATAAAATAATATTATTTAAACTAACAGATATGGTTTTACTGATAAAATAATATTATTTAAACTAACAGATATGGTTTTACTGATAAAATAATATTATTTAAACTAACAGATATGGTTTTACTGATAAAATAATATTATTTAAACTAACAGATATGGTTTTACTGATAAAATAATATTATTTAAACTAACAGATATGGTTTTACTGATAAAATAATATTATTTAAACTAACAGATATGGTTTTACTGATAAAATAATATTATTTAAACTAACAGATATGGTTTTACTGATAAAATAATATTATTTAAACTAACAGATATGGTTTTACTGATAAAATAATATTATTTAAACTAACAGATATGGTTTTACTGATAAAATAATATTATTTAAACTAACAGATATGGTTTTACTGATAAAATAATATTATTTAAACTAACAGATATGGTTTTACTGATAAAATAATATTATTTAAACTAACAGATATGGTTTTACTGATAAAATAATATTATTTAAACTAACAGATATGGTTTTACTGATAAAATAATATTATTTAAACTAACAGATATGGTTTTACTGATAAAATAATATTATTTAAACTAACAGATATGGTTTTACTGATAAAATAATATTATTTAAACTAACAGATATGGTTTTACTGATAAAATAATATTATTTAAACTAACAGATATGGTTTTACTGATAAAATAATATTATTTAAACTAACAGATATGGTTTTACTGATAAAATAATATTATTTAAACTAACAGATATGGTTTTACTGATAAAATAATATTATTTAAACTAACAGATATGGTTTTACTGATAAAATAATATTATTTAAACTAACAGATATGGTTTTACTGATAAAATAATATTATTTAAACTAACAGATATGGTTTTACTGATAAAATAATATTATTTAAACTAACAGATATGGTTTTACTGATAAAATAATATTATTTAAACTAACAGATATGGTTTTACTGATAAAATAGTTTTAAACACAATTAGAAAAGTATCATTTTACAAGTATAGCAATTGAAGTCTATCAAATCTGTCTGAGCATGTCTTCAAAATAAGATTTGCAATATTTTTTGAGTCACTATAATTTATCATTTAAATTAGTTAAAATTTCGACATTTATTTATTATATATATTTGGTTTAAATAAGCATTTATAGTTTACAAGTTATTATAATAATGATTTTAATAACTATTTTTTATTATTTAATTAAATTATGTAATTTTGGGAAGGGTATAAAATAAGAGAAGGCTGATGCGCAGAGAAACAAGTTGAGCACAGTAGACAAACTCTGAATTTTTTTGCTTACCTAGCGAGCGCTCTACCACCACTGCATGTACACTTGAAGGTAACAAGTTTTTTTTATAAAGTATATTAGTAGAAATACATTCAACCTTAAAGAAATTTTAAGGTTATTTTAAAAGTTATTTTTTGAGCATTTAAGGGACCATTTTTCTTTTTTCATTTCTTCCCTAAAAACTCTGATTGATTGACTCAAAAAAATTAAAAAAAAAAAAATTTGGAGTTACAGTAAAAACTATTTTAGACCTTGTGATAAAGCATCAAGTGTAGAGCATTTCACATACAGGAAGATTTTATGTTTAGATTACACTAATTTTTTGTTTGGTAATGTTTAAACAACTCAATAGGTATTTAGTTGTAGTATTTAGATGAAGTAGTTAACATTTATTTTAAAGGTATTTCAATAATATAGTTAACGTTTTAAAAATTGCACTCTGTTGTGGCAAAAGTTTAAATTACAAATACATAAAATATGCTTATCATTTACAAATATAATAAACTCAGATAAAAAAATCATTTAAGTTTAAATTTTTATTAAGTTAACTTTTTTGTAGCTAAATATTTTTAATTGTTTTGATATTGAAATATCAAAACAATCAAAATTTATATTCCTTTAATAAAATTGTGTCAAAAAAGAGAACATATCAATTAAAAGTTTAATTAGAAATTATAAATTATTTAAAGTTAAAATAGAAAAATTAGAAATTATTTAAAAATTAAAATCATTGGTTAAACACAAAGCCTGTGGGATTGATGAAGTCCATCTGTATGTATTCAGTACCTGCTCTGAAAGTTTGAGCAATCTTGTTGAACATATTTTCAAGCTCTCCATTGAATCGAGAGATGTATCAAAAGTGTGGGTTCAAACATAGGTTCAATTAAAAAAACTCATGATAAGCTTGATCCTTCCAACTATCCAACATATTTCTTTTCACCATTATATTTCTGTTTTATTTGGCATCTTTTAGGCAATAATTTGAAAAATATGGTGAAAAAATTTTACCAAATAAATCTTGCATTACAAATTAACTTCAAGGCTAAGATATTTTAACTCTGGCATCAAGATTACTCTATCGACATCCTTTTTACTGGCTTTCCTAAAGCATTTGACACAGTTCACTATAGAAAACTTATATTCAAAATTGAATTATACAGTATAAAGGGATTAGTTCTTAAATGGATTGAGTCCTTTTTATCAAATAGAAGGCAAAGAGTTGTTCTTGAGGACATGGCTTCTACATGGCTTGGTGTTTCAAGTGGTGTACCACAAGGCTTTTTTTTGGAACTAATTTAAGACAATTTGCCATTTGATGTCAATCTTATCAAAACAGCGTTAAACTTTAAAAAAAATTTGACAAACTTTACTATGTGATATATTATTTTAAATTGTTATTAAACTCATTGCTAAAGTTCTTTTTATAAAAAAACAAAAAATAAGTTTTAAGTATTTATTTTAGTTTATCTAAATATTAAAATAAAATAAACTAAAATTCTCTTTTATGAAAATAACTATGAATTTTAAAAATTTTTATAAAAACACCTATGAAGCATAGAAAATTTTAGAAATTTTCTATGCTTTATATTTTTTTTTTTATAAAATTTTTTACATTATCTACTTTTTATAAAAATTTCTACATTTTTTTACTGTTTTTACTTTTGATGTACGTGCAATGCACTTATATTGAAAGTGTTAAGGTAATCAAGAGGTATGGAGTGTCATATCTTATTAGGGCTGAGAGAGGGTTATAATATTACTCTCAAGTAGTTTATGCTTTTTCTTTTTAATCTATCCGGTGAATGTTTGGCATTGACTCTGAGCTAGAGAAATCCTAAATGTTTTCCAGAGTTATTGTAATGATTCATCAATAATCAATAATAAAGACTTTGAACATAGTGCCAGTACTTGTTAATATCTTTTCATTTTTACAGACTGATTGCATGTATTGTTATGTATTCCATTTTAAATTGCTCCTATTTTTGTCAGTTGTCCCATAAATGTGCTACTGATTTTTCTGTACCTTTTAGACTAGCTAGAGCTCTAAAATTTTCAGCGTTTGTGTAATCCTAATGCCAGCATATATATTTAAGTTATTTACATAGTTGCAGCTTTCAAGGGCACCGCCCTAATCTTTTTTGTTGTGGAATCTTGCTATTGATTTTTCACAAATTTCTAGACTATAAAACTTTGAAAAGATTATCTTCCAACAATTTTTATTTACTGGTTTTATTTACTGGTTTTCTTTCCTTTTTCCAACTTTTTTTTTAAATGAATCATAAACACAAGCCTTATCAAAGGATAATTTGTCTCATTGCACTGTTGTGCAATCAGACAAATAAAGTGTAGTGCTCCTTTCTCTTATGAAAGATATCACTAGACCACTATGTTATGTTGTTGTGCTCCTTGGAAGTTCTTTAAATCTTGCTGCTTAAAATGCTGTTTGTTTTTGTCCAGTTGAACTTTCTCTTTTTTAAAAAATTTTATTTATAAAATATTTATAAATATTGGTAAATAAAGTAGTTGCATTAGCATTACTAAATGCAGAGGGGTATCATGAGTTTTATCTTTTGCAATTTACAGTTAGAGAAAGATAAATTTAATTTTGTTATGATTGTAGCTTAAATATATTTTTGCTTTTCTATGCTTAAACATGTTGGAATCTACTTTATTTTGCCTTCACTTATATAGAAATATCAACATTGAATTTTTTGTATTTACTTTTGAATTACGAATGTTAAAAGAGTTGACAAATTTTAAAGTTATACTTTAAAGAAAATGCATTTATTAAATAATTATATTAATCAAAAAAAAGATAAAATTATTTGAAATTATTAAAATATTTTTTGAACTTCCAAATAAAGAAAAAGTTTTTAAAAAAAGTAAAAAACAAATGTATAGAAAAAGTAGTTAAAAAAATCCTACTGCTAAAAGCAAATTATTAAAATTAATATTGCTACAAATATAATAATAACATATCAATTAAAATATCAATTGTGGAAATTTAAAATGTAAAAGTAGTTAAGGTTGGAACTTGGTAAATTTGATGTTGACATCAAAATTAAAACTTTGTATTACTTAATTATGTTTACTTCAGGTTAGATTTTTGCTTTTTGGAAATAAAGTGTCCATATTTATTTTTATGAGGCAAAAAAGAAATGCATTTATGAAATTTTAATAATGAGTTTTTCTTTAAAGTTTTTAGTGAACCAATATATTTGAAGGTTTTTTTTAAAAAAAAATTTTTTAATGTTTTTTTTGTATAGTTTTTTATTTTATTTATTTGAAGTATATGGTATATTTTGCTATACAATGCTATTATATTCGAGGATATTCTTGGCTTAGCATATTATATTCAAGGATATTGTTGGCTTAGCATATTATATACGAGGATATTGTTGGCTTAGCATATTATATTCGAGGATATTGTTGGCTTAGCATATTATATTCGAGGATATTCTTGGCTTAGCATATTATATTCGAGGATATTGTTGGCTTAGCCTATTATATTCGAGGGTATTGTTGGCTTAGCATATTATATTCGAGGATATTCTTGGCTTAGCATATTATATTCGAGGATATTCTTGGCTTAGCATATTATATTCGAGGATATTCTTGGCTTAGCATATTATATTCGAGGATATTCTTGGCTTAGCATAGGAAAAGCCACAAATAGTCATAAAGACTAATCTAAAGTAGCACTTGTTATTGGCCAACATTTTTGCATACCAATGTGCCAATAGAGCAATGAGTTGGCAGTGACTGGATTTAAACGATTCATTTGATGCTGTTTGAATGATTCGTTTGATGCTGTTTGATGACAATTTATTTGATGCTAACCAAGTCAGCCACAAGTAAATGAATCCATCTACAAGTAAAATTTAGTTATGAAAAAAACATGAAATAATTTTTTATAGATTTAAATTACAAACATTTTTTGAGTAAGTTCCAAAAAAATATTTTTTGTATAAATTAGTTCTTAAATGTGAGTTTAATTGATATTTTTGAAAAAAGGTATAATTTGAATAATTTTAGTCCATTCAACTATATGGCTAAATAAGGACCATTTGAAAACTTCTGCCTTATTAAAGTGGCCTGTCCATTCCTCTATATACTCTAAGCAGTCTCTAAAATTATCTACGTCCTTCAGATATTGGTTTTTTGAATAATGATTATTTTCTTTGGTAGTTTGTAAATGTTATTTTACCATAAAAGGTTAAATTTTTTTTTTCTTTTCTCGGTTTTATTTGGCTTTTCAAATCTTTTAAAGTTATGGAGACTCTTGAGGCAGAAATGTTATTCTCAAATTTTTTAAACTTTTTCGGTTTTTTGTGAATGTTACTAATGTTTGTTAGTGTTATACATTTTTGCATTAAACCTCCAAACTTGGTGTTGTGATAAAAAAAACTGGTGCAAAACAATGTTTTGATAATTATTATGGAGAAACCTGTTCTGTTTACTGCAACACAGTTATTGGTTTGAATAACTCTACTGGAAATTTTTAAATAAAAATTACTAAATAAAAATACAGTGCTCGAAATGATTATTTAAAGGTTGTTGGTCAACATTGGTTTTATGAAAAAATGGAAACTAGTTAATCAAAGTTTTTTTTGGATTATCAAATTATCAGTAAATTTTTACTTAATTTTTATTTTTTGCACTTCATCTATTACACTCTTAGCGTTTGTGCTATATATACTATGTGATTTATATTATAAATATATAGCATTTGTGCTATATATTATGTGGTTTATATTGATATAAAGCCTAATAATTCACATAAGCGTTTTAAAAATAAATATAAAATTTTAATAAGTTACAAAATTTTAAATTTAATTTCAATTTTTAATGACTATTTTACATAAGCATTTATTATCTTATTTTATTATAATAAAATGTTTAATTTCTGTTATTACTTAAATTACTCAATTTACTATGGTCAACTTTTTTCCCCTTCTTTTTGTTAAATTCAAAGACTATCATTTAAAGTTGTAAATCGTGTAATAATTCTTCTTATCAAATGTTGGCAATAACTCCTAATTTTTTTTCTTCTCTATATGTCAATCACCCTTAAGGAATTATCATTTTCTGTTTTTAATTTAATAAATTGATAAAAATAACTAATAATGATAAAAAATTAAATTTAATTAATAATAATAAAAAACAGTTTAAACAAAGCTATTGTTAAAATTTGTTAAAAACAATTTGTTGAAAACGTTTTTTAAAATTTATACTAAATCATGATTTCCATCTGTTACTGTTATTATTTCATATTTTTATTAATTTCTATTTTTATTATTTTTTATTTTTTTTTTAAATCCTTAAAACAAAAACTTAAATTCCTAAAAAAAAAACAAAGTTTCATTTTGCAAAACAAAATTTCATTTTGCAAAACAAAGTTTCATTTTGCTTAAATTGCTTTGGTCTCATAACAATGTGTAACCAATCATAAACTTGCTGCATTTTTTATAATTTGAAGTAAATGTTAACTTGCATTTCTTATAATTTGAAGTAAGTGTTAACTTTCTTATAATTATAATCATTTCTTATAATCTGGACTGTGAAATGTTAACTTGCATTTACATTTTGAAAGATTGTTTTGATCTCAACGTTTTTCCCACCAATAAAAAACATTTGGTTTTTTTGATTATTCATCATAATTTTTTTCTTTTATAAATTTAACTACTAATTTAATTTAACTACTTATAACGAATTAGGTTTAAAAAACAGTACATTTGATAAGTTCACTTTATATCTGCATTTTGAATCATTTTCTTTTCATTATTATAAATATTTTGAATCTTTTTTTCCTATTATTCATTTTATTAATTAGGTCTTAATATAGTTGATAACAATATTATAGTATTTATTAACAATATTACATTATAAAAATGAACTTTGAAGCATTATTTATTTTAATAAGGGGGAAAAAAACATTACACTGTTATTATTTTATTCTTATTTGTTATTCTTTATTATTTGTTATTTTTATTATCATTTCTTATTTTGAACTGTTAAACAAGAATATTATAATAGATATTACATAATAGTAAAAGCAGTTACAAAAAGCTGTTTAAAAAAAATCTGTATAAAAAAATAAATCTGTATATGTTTTCTATTTTTTAGATGAATTGGAACTTTTGAAACAACATTTAAGTTCGTTAAATGAGGAAAAAGACATTGCAGTTTCTGAAAAAGAAATGTTAGCAAAGGAGAACAACGATTTAAAATTAAAGTTTAGTCAGATTAGTTGTGAAGAAGATATTGTGAAAAAGAACTTATCAGGTGTGTACAATTTATACATTCATTGTACAAAATAATTTGTTTTTTATTTATTTTGTCTATGTAAATAAGATTTTTTATTTATTTTTGTTTTATTAGATGAATTGGAACTTTTGAAACAACATTTAAGTTCATTAAATGAGGAAAAAGACATTGCAGTTTCTGAAAACGAAATGTTAGCAAAGGAGAACAACGATTTAAAATTAAAGTTTAGTCAGATTAGTTGTGAAGAAGATATTGTAAAAAAGAACTTATCAGGTGTGTACAATTTATACATTCATTGTACAAAATAATTTGTTTTTTATTTATTTTGTCTATGTAAATAAGATTTTTTATTTATTTTTGTTTTATTAGATGAATTGGAACTTTTGAAACAACATTTAAGTTCATTAAATGAGGAAAAAGACATTGCAGTTTCTGAAAACGAAATGTTAGCAAAGGAGAACAACGGTTTAAAATTAAAGTTTAGTCAGATTAGTTGTGAAGAAGATATTGTGAAAAAGAACTTATCAGGTGTGTACAATTTATACATTCATTGTACAAAATAATTTGTTTATTATTTATTTTGTCTATGTAAATGAGATTTTTTATTTATTTTTGTTTTATTAGATGAATTGGAACTTTTGAAACAACATTTAAGTTCATTAAATGAGGAAAAAGACATTGCAGTTTCTGAAAAAGAAATGTTAGCAAAGGAGAACAACGATTTAAAATTAAAGTTTAGTCAGATTAGTTGTGAAGAAGATATTGTAAAAAAGAACTTATCAGGTGTGTACAATTTATACATTTATTGTACAAAATAATTTGTTTTTATTTATTTTGTCTATGTAAATGAGATTTTTTATTTATTTTTGTTTTATTAGATGAATTAGAACTTTTGAAACAACATTTAAATTCATTAAATGAGGAAAAAGACATTGCAGTTTCTGAAAACGAAATGTTAGCAAAGGAGAACAACAATTTAAAATTAAAGTTTAGTCAGATTAGTTGTGAAGAAGATATTGTGAAAAAGAACTTATCAGGTTCGTATGGTTTATACATTAGCTGTACAAAATAAATAATTTTTTATTTATTTTGTCTATGTGCGTAAGATGTTTTTTTGTTTGTTTTTGTTTTGTTAGATGAATTGGAACAATTGAAGCAACATTTAAGTTTATTAAATGAGGAAAAAAACACTGCGGTTTCTGAAAATAAAGCATTAGCAAAGGAAAACAATCATTTAAAGTTTACTCAGATTAGCTCTGTTGAAGAAGATATTGTGAAAAAGAATTTATTAGGTTTGCATAATTTATACATTTGCTGTACAAAATAATTGGTTTTTATTTATGTCTATATATACTAGTAGTATGCAACCGGTAATATGAGTTATTACAATTTTACTTGATATATTATCTAAAAAATTTAATAAAATACAAATTTATGTATACATAATCTTTTTTAGTTCTGCTTGTTTTTAGTAATTAATTTACTTTTAGATAAAGACATAAAAAGAATACATAACATTAATTTTTAAGTTCTTTTTAGAATCTATCTTAAATATTAGAATTATCATTTTATATTTTTAATTGACTTTAAAAAATATAAAGCAATAAAAAAATAAAAATGATTAAGTTTTGATCACGTAATATGGTTACTTATTGATGTTTTAAAAAAAATTAAAAGCTTAAAAAGAAAATCTGTAAAAACAACTGGGATTCTACTAACAAAATTGTTTTTTTTTTAATATTCTTTATATAAATGTCTGGTGTGCAGTAAAATAATAATCATTTATTAAGTTCATAAAGTATACAAACTAATGACATACCATATGGAGTGTTTTTCAACTTTTAAAACTAAATTTTTTGTTTTAAATACATAAAAAAATTCTTAACACCTCTTATCCAGGTGTCTTATTGGTGTCCATAGGAAGGTGAATCAAAATGTCTAACCCACCGCTCAAATCAACCCAAAAAAATGTAATCACAAACCTCTCTCTCCTTATCCCAGACGCTGCTTTGCTGCAGTGGGTGGGCTGGGTGGGTGGCTGGGGGGTGGTTTTGGGTGGGGTGGGGTAGTTGTGGGTTTGTATTAGCATAAAGTTGTATCTTCTCTACATAAGTTTGTTGTTGTTATTTTTTTTGTCATAATATCTCTCATATTTAAATATTAGCTTATAATTTTCTTGTTTGGCGGAATTTAAAATAGCGTAAGTTACTGTTATAATTTACAGCTTAAGTTATAATTTAAAGTTTAAGTTGGAGTTATAATGTAATGAGCAAGTTAAAACGTTATGTGCAAGTAACATATTTAATACTATTACAATATTACTTTTAGTAATTGTTTTTACTTAACATACTTAAAAAAGTAGAATTTTACAATATTTAAACCATTTTAATTAGTTATATATTTAATAGAAATATATTTAATACATTCATGCAAATGATAAAACACATGTTATTTTTAAAGAGTTTTGTAAAATGCTATAAAACAGCAACAAAACAACTTTACAGTTTATAGCTTTTTTGTATAAAGCTATAAACTGCAAAGTTGTTTTGACAATGTAAAGAGCTTGCGTTCATGTAAAACATTTTGAGACACTTTTTTATTGCTGTTTTATACAGTTTATAACATTAATAACATAAAATGCATTTAAAATAGAATTATTCTAATTAATAAATTAAAACATTATTAATGTAAAATTTCAAACTTCAAAAACATGCCTAAAATTATACGAGTCTATAATCTATAAACCAAAAGGGTAAGATCAGAGCAATTTTTTGATCTAGCGTTCTATTAGAAATTTAAGTATAAGTTTTTTCTTTTAGATGGTTTTTATGTTGATTTTATCATTAAATTTTTTCATTCAAATTGTTTTGCAAAGAAAAAAAAAAAGTTTAGTCTTAGACTCAAATTTTTTCTTTATTTTATATTTCCTTAAATTTAAGTTCAATCCCCACCACGTCCCTGGTAGTACCGCGCTCAACTTGTTTCAAGTATATGCTTAAATTGTTTTTTAAAAAAAAATTTTTTTGAACAGAAAATAGTTTTTTAACATTATTTTACTTCTGTTCAAAAAATGTTAAAATTCTTTTTAATTTTTACAATTTTTTTAAATTTTAAATTTCAATTTCAAAATTATTTGAACAAAAGAATTTTAGAAGACTGAAATTCTTTTGTTTAAATAGATTTCTTTTTAAAATTCCTAAAAATAACTTGCGTATTTATAGAAAATGTTTAATCTTGATATCGTTTTAAATAAAATGAAAATATAAAAAAATGGAATCACGTTTTTTATATTCTATTAGAGATGTTTTGTTAAAATAATTTTTAGTTCGAAGCTTATATTATGTGTTAACAACATTTAAGATATAAATAGAAACATTTGTATGGATAACTTTTGCGAATCTTTGAGCATTTTAAGTAAATTTAAGATTTAAGTAACTGAGTTAGTGTAGTATTCATTGTAAATTAAATAGTTTTTTTTTATTTAGTTTGTAGATAAATATATTGTGAAGTACTTTATCTATGCAGTATATCAAACTAATTATAATTTAAAAATATGATTGGCTTCCATAAAGAGATTTAAAGTAATTTAAATTCAAAAGCCCTTAATGTTGAATAAAAATCTTCACGCAAGAGGCAAGTGATCATACATCTATCTAAAAGAGAAATTTAGCGTAAGACCCGTAATAGCGTAAGAAGTAAAAAAAAAAAAGATAAAGATATTCTTTTTAAGAATTACCAAAAAAAATTGCCAAAAAAAATTAGAAAAGAAAAAAAAATTAACAAAAAAAAAAACAAATCGCGAAAATATTTTTTTAAATAAAAAAGTAATCGCAAAGGTGTGAAAAGCAATAGCAATTTGCAATCACAATACGTCTAATTTGAACCCTGAATACCATTAGCACTAAACACTACTTTGTAACTATATCTTATTTATTAAAACATTTTAATTCGAAGAACAATTGAGGTTAATAAACAATTTAAATAATTAAATCATAAATTAGTGAGCAACTTGTCAAACAAAATTTTCTCATGCATGATTAATAATGCTCCCCATTGTTAATAAACCCTTATTAAAGAGAGAGTCTGACTGTTTCCAAGGCACTGTTTTAAAATAATTTAAAAGACATACAACAACTTCTTGTGAACATAAATTAATATTGTAAATGACTAAAACAACATAGTAGCAAAATATAATTATAGCACAATTAACCTTAAAACAACATAATAGCACAATTAACTTTAAAAATTAGTTTTATAAATGTTACTAATAAACAAAATTGTTTATTAGTAACATTTATTGCACTTGACATATCTAAAGCCTTCGACAAAGTTTGGTATGCTGATCTTCTCCATAAGCTTGCTTCATATAACTCATTTCTTTCTAACCGCTTTATTAAAGATTCTTTTCTTTTTGATCATTTAGAATATTTTTCTCAGGGGGATTTTTTCTCGGGGGATTATTTCGGTAGGATTTTTAAATTATATATTTAGGTAGCTGATCTTAAGTCTGATTCTATTTCTGTAACAGATCATAAACTCAATTATTTACTTCAAACAATTATCGCAATACTGTCAACATTCCTATATTAGTATGGCGACCCTTTCACCAAGTCCTCTTGTTTACATCTTTTTGGATTAATGATCACTACTGACCTCTCATGGAAACTATATATACAATTGATTGCTAAGTTATCATCTGCTAAAGTTGCTTTTTTTTATTGTGCCAATTTCTTACTCATGATCCTAACTTTATCTGCCAATCTCCCATCATTGTAAAGTTGCATCTCTTTCTCTTTTCTACAAATACTATCACGATCGCTGCTCAATAGAGCTATTATATCTAGTTCCATCAACTAAAACTCATTTTTGCTTGAAAAATGAGTTTTAGTTGATGAAACTAGATATAATAGCTCTATTGAGCAGCTCTTTAACTTTATTCATTTTTTTTCTTTTTCTTTTTGTAACTCCCAACTTAATATATTTTTTTTCTTCTTGTAACTCCCAACTTAATATTTTTTTTTCTTCTTGTAACTCCCAACTTAATTTTTTTTTTTTCTTCTCGTAACTCCCAACTTAATTTTTTTTTTTCTTCTTGTAACTCCCAACTTAATATTTTTTTTCTTCTTGTAACTCCCAACTTTATATTTTGGTTGCAGCCTTGTTGGGAGTGAATCAGAATAAAACAAAACAAAGAAAAAAACACATTTTATAAACTATAAACACATTCATTATATTAAATGAATAAACATACTTATCAAAAACTATGAATTAAGAACATTTTGAAAAATATTTGTGTAATATTTGTTAAATAACATACCTTTCAATACATGTTATCAACTTTAAAAAATAAACTATCAAACAATCTTTACCTAACCAATTCATCTTGCTTAAGTACCCCTTTGTAATGATAAGTTTTGTTAATGTGTTGCAATTGTTTGGGCATCAAATCAAAGTTTTGTTAATGTCTTGCAATTGTTTGGGCAATGATCATTCAAAAGAATGATCATTGATGCCCTTTTTTTTTCTCTTTTTAATGAGAAAGAGAGTTTAATTTCTTAAAACCATTTCTTAATCACTACATTAAAGTAAAAAACAAATAATAGTAACACAAATTAAAAAAAGGTGCAGAAGTGATAAATCTTTTGGTAAAATGTAATCAAAGTAGTGCTCCAGCATCAGGTTTTGTTATAAGATTTAATTGCATAACAAAAATGCTTGGTGCTAATAAATGTAGCTTCAACTCTGCTTTGGTATTTGCAGTGTTAAAAGTAAAAAAAAAAAAAAAAAAAAATTGTGTCATTAACGTATTTTTAAGTTGTAATTAAATTTAATTTAAACCGCGTTAAAAATCATTTAAAATAATATATCAAAAATTACTGATAAAGTCTAAATTTGGTATTTGAAAAAGATTATATTTGCTTATAGTTTATTTCTTAAAACAATTTTATACTTAACATAATCTTTTGTTTGTTTATCAAAATTTTTATTTTTTTTATTTTAACCTATTTAATTAACTATTTAAAATAAAAATCATAAATATTTTATAAATAGATTTAATCAGTTACAAATAAGATTTCATAAAAATAACTTATGTTCATAAATAAATGTCAAAAGAACTTTACATGATATAGGATTAATAACAAAGAGAAAACTTTAAATTTTATATAGGATTAATAAGAAAGAAACTTTAAATTTGTGAAAAGAGTTCTCTTAGACAAAAGCAATTTTTCCTTTTAAAAAAGAAAAAAGAAAAACTTTTTTTTATTTTGCTTTCGCATTTTTTATTAATTTA